ACACACAACCTGCCTTCACACCTCCCCCCCATCCCACACGAAGGGATAGGGGCAGCACGGCCCCCTAAACGGGCCGCATGGTAGATGCGCTGGATCAACAGCGGGGGTCAGATCAGGGCGTTACTCGGATTGCGCGTCCATAACAAATACTGAGCATCGGGAGGAGGGACGTTGGCGGTACGCGTAAGTGCAGGCTTAGACACCAGCCACCCATGACACCTATGGCCGTTCCATGCCGTGGGATCTGAAACAGACTTAGCGGATCTGGCTCTGGCTGCGCCTGCCACCTGCGTCCGATCCCGCCTCCGCTCTTCTTAACTATGTCTCGGCACCGGGCACATACGTGTGAGGGAAGAGAGAGAGTTCCGTAGATGCAACGAAAGTTAAAACTAATCCACGCGTAAGTCATTGTCATCTCGCTATGGAACACACGGCGGACATAGTGGGAATCGATGGGTGAACTGTCAACAGTAGCAGCGATCGAAAAATTGACGGGTTTGCAAAACATGAAAGATTAACAGGCCCGTCAGTTTTACCCAGAAGAAACTCTTAAAAATAAGGACTCCTCGGCAGTAACTGCTTACTGATTCGCGGATTTCCCACAGGCCAACACACAAGCACATGGAAAGAGCAACGGGAAACCATTCGGGAAGCGTAATCCTGTCAAGTCGCCCGAAACACCAGTGAGGTAAGCGTATTTGGTGTTGGAGCCGATTTCACACAACATGGCTCAGCCAGGTCAAGCTAAGAGCATAATACTGACTGTTCGTCATCCGTTCGTAGTTCACAAACTGCTCGATTGTTATCCCATTAGCCTCCAGCTTGTGCAGTCTCCGAAGATGAGTCTCTGCCTAGTCACGAAGCCCTTAGCGCTATGCGGACAGTCATTTATTGCAGGATGAACATGTTTTCTATCTTCGTTGATTGGCCGTAAGTCGAAGGTTATCTGGCTTGTTGTATAGTTATAACAGAAGCTGAGTTCCCTCTGTTTATGTGTGTATATTTTTCATCACAAGGTAACCATCGTGGCGTCAGACAAGGGTGAGCCGCGAAGAAGCAGTTCAGTGCTTCTGAATTTGACAATAACCGACGTCAACGACAACGTGCCTTTCCTACTCCCCTGCGGAGAGGCCAATATGGACGGGAGCAGCGACAAATCCCTCCCCAGCCTCCGTCGAGGCAATACGTTTACCGTTCTGGAGAACGCTCCGGTGGGCACCTTTGTTGGCCAGCTGATGGCTGAGGATGCAGACAGTGGACGCAACGGCGAAATCACCTTCCGCCTGTTGCGACGGCATGGGCTGGCTGCAGCCGCTAGATTTGAACTTCTGGCCAATGGGTCCATGTTCACGGTTCTGCCGTTGGACAGAGAAGAGACGGTAAGTCCATTATAATAATACTATATATACTAAAATCAACTAATAATGTAAAACGGAAGAAGGGCAAGAACAAACATAAATAGTCGATGATGATGATGATGATGATAGTTGAGATAGTTAGGCTTTAAAGTTGACAAAATAACTTTAGACGGTAGGCGAGAATGAGCACATTAGTAGAGCATGCGGCGGTGGTCAGCTCAACCTTATCACTCCAAAATCTAGCATTTTAGGGTCCTTTAAATATCCACGACTCATTTCACACGCCATTGGTCTAGCTGTTCCTGATCGCTCAAACTGTTCTACTGTATTCAAGAAGTCAAGATAGGCGAACGAACGTTTTCGATTAATTCATCATC